AAAAGATTATAGAATGTGAGCAACAAAAGAGACACCAGACACCCTCTAGTCCAGTGGTTTCATATCTGGCTGTATATTAGAGTTACCCTGGAAGTTTTGCAAAGGTGCTGCTGGGCTCCGCCTCCAGACCCACTGGATTAAGATCCCTGCCGGTGGGGCTTCCTGCAGGGCTCAAGTGCAGTCAGCCTCAGTGGCAAAGAAACCCAGGAACAGAGAGGTAGGTAGCCTGCCTAAAGTCACAGAGTTAGAAATTGCTAAAAGAAAACTTTCCTTAATTTTTGAAAATATTTTCACTACCCTACTAAAATTATTCCAGGTGGTTGGCAATCCATTCATTCTACAAATACTTAGGAAGAGACTGAAGGACATGACAAAATTAGTTAGTGGAGAAAGTCCGTAAGAAGTCCCAGATACCTGGCATGCCAGTGTAAGACAATCATCACCCAAAGTATAATAGAGCATCCAAAATAAATATTTTCCTGTCATATAAGTGATCAGAATGTAATTGTTCACCAAGTCTGAACTTACACAGACAAGAGCAAGTGAAAAGCAGCACAGTTTGGGAAAAACAACAATTAGATTTGGACCCATTCAAGGCTGGATTCAGATACATAGATCAATGGAACAGGATAGACAGCCCAGAAATAAACCCACGCTTATATGGTCAATTACTCTACAACAAAGGAGGCAAGCATTTATAATGGAGAGACAGTCTCTTCAATAAATGGTATTGAGAACACTGGACAGCCACATGCAAAAGAATGAAACAGGACCACTTTCTTACACCATACACAAAAATGAACTCAAAATGGATGAAAGACCTAAATGTGAGACCTGAAACCACAAAACTCCTAAAAGAAAATACCCGCAGTTATGCCTTGGACATCAGCCTTAGCAACACATTTATGGATAGGTCTCCCCAGGCAAAAGAAACAAAAGCAAAAATAAACTGTTGGGACGTCACCAAATAAAAAGCTTTTGCACAGTGAAGGAAACCATCAACAAAACAAAAAGGCAACCTATGGAATGGGAGAAGATATTTGCAAATGACATAGCCAATAAAGAGCTAGTATATAAAATATATAAAGAACTCATACAACTCCATACCAAAAACCCCAAATAATCTGAATAAAAATTGGGTAAAGGACCTGAAGAGACATTTTTCCAAAGAAGACATACAGATGGCCAACAGACACATAAGATGCCCCACATCACTCATCATCAGGGAAATGCAAATCAAAACCACATTGAGATATCACCTCACACCTGTCAGAATAGTTGGTTCCTAAAAGACAAGAAACAACAAGTGTTAGTGAAGACGTGGAGAAAAAGGAAACCTTGTGCCCTGTTGATGGGAATGTAAATTGGTTCAACTACTGTGGAAAACAGTATGGAGGTTCCTCAAAAAAATTAAAAATAGGAATATCATTTGATCCAGTAATTCTACTACTGGGTATTTACTCCCCCCAAAATGAAAACACTAATTCAAAAAGATATGTGCACCCCTATGCTTACCGCAGTATTATTTACAATAGCCAAGATGTGGAGGCAACCTAAGCGTCCATTGATAGATGAATGGATAAAAAAGATGTGGGGCGTGTGTGTGTGTGTGTGTGTGTGTATAATGGAATATTTGGGGCCATAAAAAAGAATGGGATCTTGCCATTTGTGACAACATGGGTAGACCTTGAGGGTATTATGCTAAGTGAAATAAGTCAGAGAAGGACAAATGTCATTATGGTTTCATGTATACATGGAATCTAGAACACAAACCAAAACAGAAACAGACTCATAAATACGAAGTAAAACCTGATGATTGCCAGAGGGGAGGGGACTGGGGGGATGGGTGAAATAAGGGGAGGGGATTAAGAGATACAAACTTCCAGTTATAAAATAAATCAGTCATGGGGATGAAAAGTACAACATAGGAAATGTGGTCAATAATATTGTAAGGTGACACATGGTGACTACACTTGTGATAAGCACTGAGTACCGTACAGAATTGTTGAATTACTATGTTGTACACCTAAAACTAATATGACATTTGTGTATCAACTACACTTCAATAAAAACAAATAGTAGAGAACCAGGCTCAAATCTAGCACTTTGAACAAGTGGCAAATTTGTTCATCACTGTCAACCTCAGCACTGCAGCTGGACAAAAAGGGATAATACCTCCTCTGCTAAAAATGCAATCACATCATGTAAATAAATGCTACCAGTATAGTTGATTAGCATAGAGGAGGAGTCCTCCTCCTCCTATACCTGCCAGAGCCCTGGGAACCGGCATATCTTTCTGCTCATTCATTAGGAATGCCCAGCAAAACCGTCTTCTCTCTTTAGGAGCATGCAGGCTGCATTCACGCTCTGATTTGCATCCATGCCCTATTTCAGACTTAGCACTCCTCCTTCACCACAGGGTGGTGGACAGCGGGAGGGTGGCACCCTCAGTGAACGCACTGAAATGCCACAAGCACTGAAGGTTAAAACTCAGAATCAAATGTCCTCGTGAGTCTGGAAACAATTACACGCAAAAGCTTTCAATGTCTAACTAAGCATTTTCATAGACAAATATTCTGAAGGGATGTATTTTATTTCCTAAACTGACCAAGCCACATGGGTTTTGAAGTATGCTCATGAGGAAAGCCCGTATCTTCCTTCATAAACTTTCAGTTCCTAGGACATTGCTATATACCTTATAGAATAGTAATACCTTCCTTGTTCAGTCACTGACTGGAAAATTCGCTCCTTCAAAATCAATTGCAACCAATGCAGCAGAAAGCTCTTACTGTTTTAAGTGCAATGCTCACTGCAGTGAAGGAACAGAATGATGGGCCAGTGTGAGCCCACACCGGGAGTAGAGGCACATGCAGAATTTTAATAATGCCCACATGGGCTGTATTGGGAGATAAGGAAAAGATTCCACCACAATTTCCATAATTTCCATAATTCTATTGAATCATTTTAAATTCCCTACTGTGGGCGCTCTATAAAATACTGCCTTCTAATTCTACAGCAGTACTCCCTAATGTAAGTATACATCCTGTGAAAATGTTTTTCATGTAAAATCACGTGCCACAGGTTTTTCTGAACAGGTAATTCCAAAATATAAAAACAAATGTCATAGTGAAAATATTTCCAAAATATGGGTGGCATATCTGAAGTTCCATAGGATGCTAGATATTACACAAAATAAATAAAAGAATGCATGAAAAATAAATAAATAAAAGTGGGGGTATAAATGAACAAATAATTTTGAGAAAATACGAAGCTAAGCAAAATTAATAAGTATTTATTTATTTATTTACTTATTTATTTAATGTTTATTATTTTTGAGAGAAAGAGAGAGACAGGAGCACAATCTGAGCTGTCAGCAGAGCCCAACGCAGGGCTTGAAACCACGAACCGTGAGATCATGACTTGAGCCGAAGTCGGGCACTCAACTAACTGAGCCACCCAGGCACCCCAGTAAGTCTTTTTTAACTGCATTTCTCAGATCTTGCAATGTGTATGTGTTGCAACTCTCTAAAAAGTAGATTTGGCAGAATGTCTCAAATTTATTTTTTTTTCTCATGCAGTTTTCAAGACTGAGGAACTATGGAACATGAGTTAGGGAAACGCTGACCTGAAATATTATCATAATATACTGCCTTCAACACTTATGATAAATAAGCATCCTAATCCTTCAGAGAAACAAAAGGTGGTCCACCTGGCAAAGAGACCACAAGAACCTCTCAATTAAGGTCAACAGTGATGAGCTCTCATACAGCCTTGGCAACTCCTACAGGGAGTAAAACACAGCTTTTCCCGTGGTAACTTTTGCTGGTCGTATAACCATTAAAAAGCAATTAGAACACTACATATGGTTCTGCTTTGGATGCAAATCCTGCAATGTATTATTGAGATGAATTTTTCTTTTTCATCTGTTGCATAAGTGCAAAACAACTTGAAAGTTGGAATGTGTGTGTGTGTGTGTGTGTGTGTGTGTGTGTGTGTGTATGTGTAGGACCAGAATGTTTATGTCCTCTCAAAATGTGTATGTTAAAGCCTTAACCCCCAAATAACTGTATTTGGAGACAGAACCTGTAAGAAGGTGATAAAGCTTAGATGTGGCTATAAAAGTGGGGCCCTAATCTAAGTACCCTCATAAGAGGATGAGGCACCAGAGCCCTCTCTCTCTCTCTCTCTCTCTCTCTCTCACCCTCTCCCATCTTCTCCCCCTCCCTCTCTGCCTCCAAAGAGGTCACGTGAGCACATAGGAAGCTGGAAGCTGCCTGTAAGCCAAGAGAACTGTCACCAGACACTGAACTTGGTTGGCCTTGATCTTAGACTCTCCAGCCTCCAGAACTGGGAGAGAATAAATTTCTCCTATTGAAACCATGAAGTCTGCAGTATTTTGAACGGCAGCCCAAGCAGACTACTACAATATTAGACAAGCCACCCAGCAATCAAGTCAAAACAAGCAATCAAATCAATAGCCAACAAACTGACGATGTTTATGGCTGAATCTATCAATGCATGGATTCAAAACAGTTAACACCCATGGTCTCTCTCCAGGTTTCGAGAAAACCTAAACGAGGTTTTGCATCTGCTGGACCTGGAATGTTAAGCATCACAAGGGTGAAAATTTTCCCTATTAAAAACGTCCTTTTCCAAAAAGCTGACCTTTATAGCTCATTAAACTTTAAAAACAAAAACAAAATCCTCCCCCAAACAAAATAAACAAAAAAGCCTTCTTGCAATTTTGAGCACTTGAGGCAACACAACGCCCCAGTCCTTGAGCAGCTCCATTGTGGCCTCCAGCTCCTGCCCTGCTAAGGGCATCAGGCCTTTGAAAGGCGCGCAAACCCCGTACCCGTTGGCTCACTTTAGAAAGGCAAACTAGCAGTGGTCTACGCAAGGGCCGGTGGTCCGCAGGCTCTGACAATGCAATGGCTGTGGTCTGTAGGCGCCTGACTAGGACCCGGCCGCCCGCACAACCCCCAGGGCCCCGCGCCTACTGCAATGCTCCTCATCGCTCCAGTCGTTACAGTCGTTGTGGCCGTTGCACTGCAGCTTCCGGGGCACGCAGTGCCCGCTGGCGCACAGAAAGCTCTCGCCCCCTCCGCACAGCGCTGAAATACAAGGGTGGGAACACAGCGTCAGAAGGGGTTTCCCATCAAAAGTGGGAGAAATGAAGAACAGAGGGAAAACCTTCCCTTGCTCTCCAACGGATTTGTGTCCACATTCCCTCACCGAGTTTCCTTTGGCCCTCTAGAACATGAATGGTGAAATTGCCTGGGAATAAGACAAACAGTGTTTGCGGGAGAAACGCAAAAGAAAACTCAGCACTGGGCCTGCGGGGTGAGAGGTCTCCGTGTTCAGAGCACAAGAGGGTAGGTATTCTTATCAATTGCACGATTTATGTGGGGAAAATACCAGATGTGAATATTTTTCTTAATAACTGCAAATTATTTAAAAATGAAGTGCTGTTAGTTGAACAAACATTAAAAAAAAAAAAAAGAAAGAAAGAAAAACACGCAAACAAACAAAAAACCCCAACCCTCTCCTTCTAAATTGCTGCACCAGGCGTCTGGGTGGCTCAGCCGATTGTCTGACTTCGGCTCAGGTCATGACCTCAACGTTGGTGAGTTGAAGGCCCCCACGCGGCTCTGTGCTGACAGCTCAGAGCCTGGAGGCTGCTTGGGATTCTGTGTCTCCCCCTCTCTCTGCCCCTCTTCCACTCAAGCTCCACCTTCCTTTCTCTCTCCCTCTCTCAAAAATAAATAAACATTAAAAAAAATTAAAATGCTACACAATGCTGCACAGTAAAGTTACAGTAAAAAGAGTCCATCGTTGTGTGCTTGAACCAGGCCTAGAGACACCCTGATCTGTAGTGAAATATATTTACTTGCCTTAAAAGGATGTCAGTTGACTATATCAGAGTCTATTTTGGCATAAGGAATGTGAAACATGACCTAAGGATTTTTTCATTCTTTTCTTCAGCATAGTTACATTTTAATATTTTTTGCTTAGTATTATGGTACTCTTTTTTTAATCAATATTCAATGGCTTCAAAATTACAGTAGACAAGTGTAAGACAAAAAGCTAGAGAGATTTTTTTTAAGGAAAATCATTAACAAAAGGCAAAATCAGTTCCTTTTCAAAATAAAATGGGTGTTAAAATAGACTTAAATATTTGGTAATGTGCATCAAATGCCTTTCAAATGTGCATGACCTTTCACCAAGCGCCTTATTCCTTGGACTTCATACAAAGGAAATCATTATAAATAAGTGCAAGTTTTTACTTTTAAGGCTATTTGTACAATCATGATTTATAATGAGGAAATGATAGAAAAGAACTATGCAATAGTAGGAGGCTGGTTAAATAAATTTTGTTACCTTCATAATAAGAACTACTGTTAGAGCCATTGAAAAGTATACTGCAGAAAATACTTGATGTCTTAGGACAAAGTTCAAGATAATTTAAGTGGAAAAACACTGGTACAGAAAAAAAGCATAATATAATTTGGCCTAGAAAGAAGTAAATCAATGGTTACTGTGATTATCCCCACTATTGGGATTAAAAGCAATTTTTATTTTCTTCATTTTATTTTCCTCTGTATTTTACAAATGTTCTTATAATGATGGTGTCTGTTTTTATTCAAGTATAATTGACACATAACATTATATTAGTTTCAGGTGCACGGCATAATGATTCACTGTTTGTATACACAGCCAAATGATCACTTCAGTCGTTCTAGTTACCATCCATCACCAGTGAAAGTTACAGATTTTTTTTCTTATGATGGCAACTTTTAAGATTTACTCTCTTGGCAACTTACAAATATGCACCATAATGTTATTGACTACTGTATATTTCATCCCGATGACTTATTTATTTTGTAACTAAGTTTGTACTCTTGACCCCCATTTGCTCCCATTTCATTCACACCCAACCTCCCTCCCCTCTAGAAACCATCATTCTGTTTCTGTATCTCCATGTTTTGTTTTGTCTTCTTTGTTCCTTTGTTTTGTTTTTTAGATTCCACACATAATTGAGATCATATGGTATTTGTCTTTCTCTGTCTGACTTATTTCAGTTGGCATAATACCTTCAAGGTCCAGCCATCTTGTTACAAATGGCAAAATGTCATTCTTTTTTCTTTTGGCTGAGTAGTATTCCTTTGTGTATGTGTATACCACATTTTCTTTATCCTTTCATCTATCAATAGAAACTTAGGCTGTTTACATATCTTGGCTTGTGTAAATAATGCTCAATGAATATAGGGATGCATATATCTTTTCAATTTAATGTTTTCCTTTTCTTCAGATAAATATCCAGAAGTGGAATTACTACATCAGTGTGGTAGCTCTATTTGAATTTTTTGAGGAACCTCCATATTATTTTCCATAGTGGCTGCACCGATTTACATTTGCACCAACAGTGCATAAAGGTTCTCTTTTCTCCATATCCTTGTCAGCATTTGCTATTCCTTGTCTTTTTGATAATAACCATTCAAACAGCTGGGAAGCAATATCTCATAGTGCTTTTGATTTGCATTTCCTTGATGATCAGTGGTGTTGAGCATCTTTTCATGTGCTTGTTGGCCAACTGTATGTCTTCTTTGGAAAAAAATGTCTGTTCAGATCCTCTGCCCAATTTTTAAATCAGGTTGTGTTTTGTTGTTGTTTTGCTATAGAGTTGTATGAGTTCTTCATATATTTTGGATATTGATCCCTTATCAGTTACATCATTTGCAAATATCTTCTCCCATTAGTAGCTTGCCTTTCATTTTGTTGATGGTTTCCTTTGCTGTGCAGAAGGTTTTTAGTTCCAAGTAGTCCCAATTGTTTATTTTTGCTTTTGTTTTTGGAATTTGATTCAAACATTCATCACTAAGACTGATGTCAAGGAGCTTGCCACCTATGTTTTCTCCTATAAATTTTATGGTTTCAGGTCTCACATTCAAGTCTTTAATCCATTTTGAGTTTATTTTTATGTGTGGTGTAAGAGAGTAGTCCAGTTTCATTCTTGAGCATATGGCTGTCCAGTTTTCCCAACACCATTTTTTAAAGAGTGTGTCCTTTCCCCATAGTATATTCTTGTCTCCTTTGTTGTAAATTAATTGACCATATATGCACGGGTTTATTTCTGGACTCTCTATTCCTTTCCATGGATCCATGTGTCTGTTTTTTATGTCTATACCGTACTGTTTTGATTACTATAGCTTTATAATATGGTTTGAAACCAGGGAGCATTATACCTCCAGTTTCATTCTCTTTCTTCAAGATTGCTTTTGCTATTCAGGATCTTTTGTGGTTTATACAAATTTTAGGATTGTTTTATTTCTGTAAAAAATGTCATGGATTTTTGCATCCATGTTCATTAGAGATATTGGCCTATTGCTTTCCTTTGGTTTCTTCTCTTTTCTTTTTCTTTTCTTTTCTTTTCTTTTTCTTTTCTTCCTTTCTTATGATGTCCTAGTCTGGTTTTGGTTTCAGGGTAATGCTGGCCTTGTAAAATGAGCTTGGAAGTGTCCTTTTCTCTTCAATTTTTTGGAAGAGTCTGAAAAGGATATATATAAAATCTTCAAATGGGGGGTAGAATTCACCAGTGAAGCCATCTGATCCTGGACTTCTGTTTGTTGTTGGTAGGTTTTTGAGTACTGATTAATCTCCTTACCAGTAATTGGTCTTTTCAGACTTTTTATTTCTTCATTATTCAATCTTGGAAGATTATATGTTTCTAGGAATTTATCCATTTCTTCTAGGTTATCCAATTTTCTGGCACAGAATTGTTCATAGTTTCTCAAGATATTTTATATTTCTGTGGTATCAGTTGTAACTTCTCTTCTTCCATTTCTTATTTTATTTATTTGAGCCCTCTCTCTTTTTTTCTTGGTGAGCGTAAAGACTTTTAAATGTTGCTTATCTTTTCAAAGATCAAGCTCTTGGTTACAAGCTCAAATTACTTAGTTACTATTATCTTTTCCGTCTCTATTTCATTTACTTCTGCATTGATCTTTGTTATTTCCTTACTTCTACTAACTTTGAGCTTTGCTTCTTTGTCCTTTTCTAGTTCTTTAGGTATAAGGTTAGATTGCTATTTGGGATTTTTCTTGTTGCTTGTGGTAGGCCCACATTGCTATGAACCTCCCTCTTAGAAACTACTTTTATTGCATCTCAAAGATTTGTATTTCCATTTTTATTGTCTCAAGGTATTTTTTGATTTCTCCTTTGATCTTGTCATTGACTCATTATATATTTATGTATATATTTATGTGGCGTTATTTAACCTCCACATATTTGTGACCTTTCCAGTTTTCTTCTTTGATTCCTAGTTTCATACTGTTGTGGTCAGAAAAGATGCTTGATATGATTTCAGTCTTCTTTAATTTATGAAGACCTGTTTTGGGGCCTAACATATAATCTATCTTGGAGAATGTTCCATGTGCATTTGAGAAGAATGTGTATTTTTTTGCTTTTGGATAAAATGTTCTGTAAATATCTATTAAGTCCATCTGGTCTAATATATCATTTAAGACCAATGTTTTTTTATTGATTTTTTTGTCGAGATAATCTATCCATTGATGTAAATGGGGTATTAAAGGCCTCTACTATTTTGTATTCCTGTCAATTTTTCCCTTTAGGTCTGTTAATATTTGCTTTATATATTTAGGTACTCCTATGTTACATGCATAATATTTACAAAAATTATTATCCTCTCATTGGATAGACCCCTTTATCATTATATAATGCCCTTCTTTGCCTTTTATTACAGTGTTTGTTTTAAAGTCTATTTTGTTGCGTATAAACATAGCTACCCCAGCTTTCTTTCAGGTTCTGTTTGCATGGAACATCTTTTTCCGTCTCTTCACCTGCAGTCTTTGAGTGCCATTACATCTGAAGTGAGTCTCTTGTAGGTACAAAAAAATGGATTTTATTATAATTTTTTTAATCCAGCCACTCCATGTTTTTTGGTGGGAGAATTTAGTCAATTTACATTTATTTATTTTTTTTAAATCTTCAGTGATACTTTATTTTTTTTAAACTATAAATGATATATTTGGGGGTATTTTTAGTTATTTATAAATGTTAGCATGCCAGTAAAGAAAAGTTAGAGTAGTAGCAA